GCCGAATCGATGCTTTTAGAGAGAGAGAGAGAGAGAGAGAGAGAGAGAGAGAGAGAAACCCTCTTAAGACCCGCAAAAAAAAAAGAACGCTAAAAAACACCCGGTGGTCCCTGTCGATTCCCCAGAAAGAAAGAGAGTGCATGGCTTCGGCGAGCGCGGCTCCCGTCGCCCACGCGGCAGGTCCAACCTGGGCGATGCGGCGCTGGGCAGCAGCACGCAGACCATGACGCCTGGCCTTTTTATTTTAATTAAGAAGAGGGTATACACGGCAGACGGTGCGGGTGCGGAATGAACACTCTCTTGGCGACTGCGACTCACTTCTCAGGATGCGGTTCCGCCGCACCATGCACCACGAGGAGCAGAGACCCAGTCTGTTCTTTCCCGGTTCTTTCCCCGTGCACTTCCTGTTGGAGCGCAGCCCGCCTCGCGAGGACGCTCCGAAGGTGCAGTTTCAGATTGAGCGCTGCCACAGCAGGTAGTCTCACCGGTTTCACCCACCACGGACATCGCTTCGGAAACGAGAAGGAAATGAAGCAAGGAGACGTGCTGACATGCTAGCTGCTCTTGGATCAAGCTTCATCCAGAACCGAAAGCCCTTCGACTGCCTTAAAATGTTTTAAAGCACAAGAGCATCGTTTGGGGTCACTTGCCGTGACTTGGACTCCGTTCAGGCCTGAGGTTGTCGCACTTCTCCTCATGTGCGCTCTGCGGACACGAAGCAGGCTGCTGCAGGCATGGTCCATGCTCATGCTCGCACGGGCGATACAACGCAGGGAGCGCCGCTACGCGTGAGGGCGTGCCTGCGGGATCTTCGGAGGTTTGCTTCGGCAGAAAGCCTTAGAGCAGGACTTGTTCTGGAACTTCATTAGAAGGACAAAGGGCTGGAGCCGAAGGTGATGTGAGCTTCAGGAGCTCAGATAGTGTCTTGAAGCATTCTGTGTCCGCCTCATTCCGCCTCCATGCACACGTGACAGCCTGCGCGGCTTGCAAAGGTCAGAAACCCACGCCGTGCAGCGAGGCACCGGCTCTGCGTCGCAGCAGGGTTACATGTAAAGCTGAAATCTTCCAGCCTCCGACTTGAAGCTCGTGAGTCTTCTTACTACTCTGCCGCTCTTTGGCTCCCAATGTCAAGAGGTCAGGATTTCTCTCCCTCGCCAACAGCGCTTTTGGGGGAGATGCGGCTTTGGCTCTTCCTGGTGAGAGTCGCCTCTGGCGCAACTGGCGCGCTTTTTGCGGACGATGAGTGTTGGACGTCGACGTCGTCGACGTCGAAGGATTGCGCATTGAGTGCCTTGCAACATCGAAGCTGGACCTCAGCCGCCTCAGCCTCGGCAGAGCTTCAAAACACGTCGGCTTCCGCCTCCTCTTCCGCGGAGCTTCGCATCTACCAGTGGAATCCCCATTGGCAATGCTTCTACCAGAAAACACACAGCACATGCAAGGAGCGGGGCAAGGCCCTTTTGAATCGTGGCTTACGGAACATGCAGATTGATTTCGCGAATGTCATTGAACTTGTGGATCCTTCTTACAGGCCCCCGGGAGGCTTTCAGATGCTGAAAGCCACCTGCAACAGCAAAGAGAATGCCCTCTTGATCTACGACGCATCCAAGTGGAAGCCCTCCAATAGAGGAGGGTCTCGTGTCTCCGGATGCATGACGAGGAAGGATCGTGCCTTTAACGTGCAAATGTTTGAGTCTGTCGGTGGTTCTCCACTGTCTCAGGTTGTGGTGGTGGGTGCACACTACCCGCATTACATCAATGTGCCAAGGCTCAGAGACTCTCTCGCTCAGGTCACGCATTCAACGGGGGTCAAAAACGTGATCTTCATCGTGGACACCAATCAGGAGAACGGTGACAGCACGGACGTTGCCCGGGCTCTTGGAATGCCAATGGCCCATGCGATTCGCTCCTCCCCGCTTTTCGTCAGCTGCTGCCACCAAGTCAACGAAGGCTTCGTCTGGAAGTTCGATCGGATCATCTCGAACTTCGGCCGCATGACAGATACAGGAGTCTTCGAGGTGCCTTCTTGGGCAGCGCCCTCCATGCACAGAGCTGTGCACGCCAAGATCCAGCTCTCCTAGAACATTTCCCTTCATGCAGTACTGACGGAAAGCATCGAAGATGCTTTCGTGTCTTTCAACATGACCGGATCTTGATTGAAGCATGTTGAAGAAAGCACGGTGGCAAGATACGCATCTGGGATGTTCTCGCGCCGCTTCACTCCAGAGACCCAGAGTGAAACTGGAATCCCCCCCGCCAAATCGCACAAATCACAGAAACCCGCCCCCCCCCCCCTCCCCCCTCCAAACCTGAACAAGCGCTCTCAATTCGATTTCGAAGGCCTTGCGCCCCTTGCCCACATCAGGGCTGCTGGCCGCGACGGCCGCATCGGGACGTGCTCAGCTTAGCCATCCTACTGTTGATGAAATAAATCCTGCATTACCTTAAGGACTCTAAACTGCAAAAATTTTTGGTGTAGTACTGGTTACGGGTAATGCAGGATTTATATCATCCGTAGATCTCTTGGCTCTCAGAACTTCAGACCCGGCCCCGCCGGGGCCCCCCTCGGGCTGGGTCCATGCTGCCGACCTAAGGCTCTGCTTTCGGAATTTTGGATCAACTACGTTTCGGCACGTAGTAGCTTCTATATATGCGCATACTGCAGAGAGCATGTTGCTTTCGAAGCCTTGGGGCGGGAGCAGGGTTTTGATCTCGGTTGTGAAGAAATGTGCCAACAAAAAGATATGGCTCAAGTCAAGGGCTCTCTCCAGCAGAATATGCTGTCGACTTCTGAGCATTCTGACTAGAGCTCCAGTCCGCCATGAAGCGGCTCTTTCAGTTGCTCTTCCTGCTGCTTCTGCTTGCCTGGTACAAGCTTTACAGTGACTTCCGTTTGGAGCCCGAACCGAAAGCAGCTCTGAGAGCGACGAGCTATGGGCACCCTCCCTGGTTGAGAGAGTGCAGAAAGATCTACCTGGACATAGGCAGCCTCAACGTTTCCCTTGCATGGCTTAGCAGTCGTGAGTGCGGTTTTTGGATCATTTGGATCAGCCAAAACTTGCTGAAGCGCCACTCAAAAGCCCGCAAAACAAACTCTGAAGAGCTTGTCTGAACTCGCCAGAGACTTCCTCCTGCGCTCTCCCTGCAGGGAGCAATATCGGCGTCCAAGTCCGGAAGTTCTTCGAGCCCGAGCGCTACCCCGGCGCAGAAGCCCCTTCGTCCGAAAGTCGCCCGAAAGGCCTCCTGAGCGCTTCTTCTGAAAAACTTAGAGCCTCTAAGGCCCCTAACTATAGGAGGAATAAACCTCAAGCTGGACACCTGGATGAAATGGCCTATGCCGTCTGGAGCCATTGAATCCTTCGTCTTCAGTCTAGATACCCGGACACTGGTACCTCTTCTCTGCAATCAGCACGCAGCTTCCTTGCAGCATGGGGCTTGCATGTCTAAACCCTCCCCCGCCTCTAAGCTAAGCCTCCATTTTCTGGAGCTTCTCGCCTGGAGGCCCCCTCAGCTTCGCTCGAAGTCCTGAGAAGCCTCGAGATCCCGTTGGGCACCCGCCCCCAAAGCTTTGCAACTCGAAATCCTCTGTTAGGTCAATACCTACTGGGCCCAATTCCGAGACTCCAAGAAACCCAAGCCAAGACGCCTCGACGCTTCGAAGCCGGAACCCTCCCACTCAGGAAGCCTAGACCGAAAACCGACACTCACGCTTGCGCCGAGGTCCTTCCCCTCTTCGATCGGAGCTTTGGCCCTGCGGCCAGGCGTAAGGAGCCCTCGGCGCAGACAGGGCTCTGCGCCCTTGGCATGGAGTCTCGGAAAGAGTCCTTGGGGGGTGGGAGGCCCTAGGCTTCGCGCTTGAGCAAAGTGCATGGTTACGGGTCGGGAGAGGGCAGGCAAAGTCGCCTTTGCAGGATATCTTCGTGTGCAGTGTCCTTCCGACCACAGCTCGGGGGATCCTTGTGATGGCACACGGGATTGTCGCATTTTTGTTGCTGGAGCTACCAGTTGAAGCCGAAGCGTTGAGCCTCATGCACAGGGTGTGATGCTTGGGGGGCACGACCTAAGCCGGGCAGAGACCTGTGCCAGCCGTGCCAGTGACGACAAGCATCGCAGAAAACGGCACGAGTGTTCAACTTGCATGCCCCGCCGCAAAAGAAGCTGCCTTTCACGCCGACTAGAACACAACGCCATCCCATCAGACCGTTTTGCACAGCTGAACTTTGTCTTCTGGACGGGAGGCGAAACACAGCTGTCCCCCTTCCGGCCCAGATCACTGTCCATTGATTCACATTCCCTACCGGAGCGTGGAGACGCGATTCTGCTGCCGCTACATCAGAACATTTCATGGTGTGGAAAGCACCTGTAACGTGATACTTTGATCCATGCAGCAGAGCACCCGGCCTGTGTACATGCCGCTCGCGGATCCGAGCGGATCCCGGAGTACTGAATCTGCTTAAAAGTAAGTATCGGTCAGGATCCTGGCAAGTGCACGGGTTTCCGCTAGATGGTCCGTTTCAGACTTCTAGCAGCCCAGCAGGAAACCTTTACGCAGTCAGGCAGCTTTGCGCCTTTGCGCATTCCCCGTAGCATTTGTGAGGCCAAGGATTCATCGGTGTCCGCATGCCTTGATGGATTCATGAAGCATTAGATGTAGCCTATTTGCTTGTGAGGCGCACACATGCTCTTCAGCATTCTCAAATGGTCCTGTCCGCACTTGTGGTCGGGCCTGGAAGATCCTACATCTAGAATCTAGACATCCCAGGAACCACATCCTGCGCTCCAGGGAAGACTGCAGGAGATCGCCCAGGCGAGCGGCTCTGCAAGGGTTTTGTCTCTTGGGGCTTCGGGGTTTGTTTCATTGGCTCCAAAGGATTATGTTCAGCTGTTGCACTGTACTGTACTGATTGTGTTCAGAAGTATGTAAGAGAGGTATCACAGCAGGTACCATGCGGCACGACGCTTTGTAAGCAGATATTATTTCTGGGGGGGAACCTGCGTCGAGCCTCCGTTTTCGGCAGAGCGCTCGAGCCGTGTCTTTTTTGCGCTTTCATCGTCTAAGGCCTATCAGAGCCGTGGCTGGCATGTGCACTTCTACCCTTTCGCTGCTCACACACGGGTCGGCGCCCTCCTCTTCCAGCAGCAGGCAGGAGGGGCCACGGCAGAATCCAAAAAGCTGATGGCTGATAGCATTTGTGGGATACGCCAAACCCTGAGCTCAAAAAGCCTCAGACCCTTTTTGTCCCGAGGCCCTACAGTACTCCCTAAACCTAAACCTCATAAACAGCCTGAAAAAGCAAAAAAAAATCAAAACTCCAACTAACAAAGCTCGCTCGTGCAATTATGTGTGACGGACCCGAAAAGAACCCCTCTGTGGCCGGGCTGCAAAGCTGCAGAAAGCAGAGAGGACGGCGTCGGCCGCGGCACGGCCTCGCGCATCGCCGGCTACGGCCCAAGGAGCTGGTGGGCGGCCGTAAGTACCCGACCAAAAAGAGAAGGATGAGAGAGGAAATTTGCGGGGAGTTGCGCATTTTGTTTGTTTGTTTGCCAAAGTGAAAAAAAAAGTAAATAGAAGACGACGCCAGCCGCGCAGACCCCTTTCTCCCCGTTCTCCCAGCGCCGGAGGTGGCCCTTCGCCTGGGAAGATCCGTCGCAGCAGGCTGGGAGTCTCCCGTGTGAGGCTTTTGAGGCTACTTTTTGGGGCTTTCTGAAAGTATGAAAGGGTCTCTGACTCTACCGTTGGGGCGGAGGTGACGGTCCAGACCATCGATCTGGCAGACTTCATCAGCTCCCTGACCAGAAGCAGAGATTCTTCGGCCTACGCTTGACGGTTTGGTGTCCCAGGTGTGAGGCTGCAATGGTCTAGGGTTCAGGCAAAACAAGTGCTAAACCTCAGGGAATTGGGGTGTGGGGGGGGGTGTTGCGGTTCAATTCTAGGGTTGTAGTGCGGAAGTGTGCTTTTTTGGGTCTTTGCTGAGGTTCGCTTAGACCGGCGTCTGTGGTGCTCATGAAGCTGGACATCGAGGGAGCAGAGTTTGATGTGGTGCCCCGCTTAGCTGAGCGAGGCCTTCTCTGCAAATCCTCCATTCCAGAGGCCGGCGGCTAGGCAAATGAGGGCTCTCACTGACGCGGTGCTCTCTCTCCCTCTCTCCCCATAGACGGAGAGGCCTTCATCGAAGTGCACGAGAGCTCGAAGTTTTCCTCGATCGCTGCAGGGGAGCGCTTCATTGAGCAGCAGTTGGATTTGGCACGGAACTCTGAAGGTCCCTGTGAAAAAACCGTCCTGAACGTGCTGGACGATGAGAGCTTCGCAAAGGATGTGGACCACGACTTTGCTGGAAGAACGAAGCCGGCTCTAAGGCTCTCTCCAGAAGATGGGCACTCCTACATGTTCGGATACTTTGACAAGTGGGCCGTGGACGAAAGCAACCAGTGGGTGCTGGCTTGCCGAATCCCCTATGCAGACCAGGAGCCATCCGAATCTGCCGAGATGCTTGTAGGCTTCGTTCCCATGGACGGCACGCAGCACTTCACTGAGCTTGGGAAGACCACTGCCTGGAACCTACAGCAGGGAGCCATGGCTGAATGGCTGGGCCCTCAGACGGTGATCTTCAACATCCGCAACAGAAACCTGGGCTCTTGCTTTTAAGAAGCTTCTATATTTCCCTCCAAAAACGTACGTGATAATTTGTAGCAAAAACATAAGAGCATGCCTGCTTCCTTCTGGAAGCAGAACAGACTCAAAAGGCAATTTGGGCGACGGCCAAAGCCTCTTCCAGGCCCAGGTCGTCGACGCCAAAAGCGGGGAGACGTGGCTCTACCCGCGACCCGTCTACGCGCTGAACCGGCCCAGAAACCGCTTTCTGTCCTTGAGCTTCCAGCGCTTGCACTGGCTCTACCGCGGCTACTGGACTCCGTGTTTTCAGGAGCTTGCAGGGTGCAGTTTTGCTTTTAAGTACTGCCCGTGTTCTCAACATGGGCCGCCAGGCGGCCAAAAAAGCCCGATTGCCATGACAGAGAGCTTAGGCTACGGCTACACGGTGCCGGATGAGGTAGCGATCGAGAAGCTGCCCTTGGAGGATGGCCTCTGGGAAGTTGACCTCCACTCGAAGAAAGAGGAGCTCCTCGTCAGCGTCCCTGCCCCAGCCCTCAGCAAGAGCAGCCCTCAGAGCCCCTCTCCTCTCCTGCACGGGGGCACGGTTTGGCTTTGGGGCCTACGTTTGGGGGTTCGAGTTTGGGGGGCAAGTCTGTTCATCCAGAACTGCTGCGACGGCTGAGCCCTGCTGAGCCTTTTCACAAGGTCCGTGGGCTCTACGATTTCCTCCAGCTGACCGGTCGGACTGATCCCATTACCGGGGAGGCTTTCCAAGAATTCCACCTGAACTCAGACCACGGTTTCAACCCTGACCCCATGCGCCTAAGGCCCCGTGAATTAATATCGATTGCGACCCCAAGACTCTTCCTTGCTCCCCTCTAGACCGCGGCCTTACATGGCAAGCCTGACATCGCAGCAGGCCTTCGCAGAGCATCCGGACAATGCGATTTCCGGGTATTGGTATCTGAATCATGCCCATGTCTCCAGCGAGGGCACCAAGGCAGGGAGGCAACAGAGAGTTCCGGGGATTGCAGGAAGGCTTCAAGCAGACATCGGCTTGAATTTTTCGGAGATATTTCCTAGAACTTAGATGAGCCAAACCCTTTAAGCCCGAAAAGCCCGAACCCTGAACCAGCCCTTCGCGTGGATGTTGAACCCTAGCCCCTAAAAGCCCTAAACTCTCAACCCCAAGTCCTACACGTCTTCCACTCCACAGCTCCACAACCCTGGGAAAAAAACCAAACAAGCCCTAACGAAGCGGCCTCCGATCGCCGTTTTTTTGTTTAGGGCAGGTTGCCTTCCTCTTCCGCTCGGCGATGACCCTTTTTTCTGACAGCTTCGACTTCACCTCCCTGATCCTCGGTTCCTCCGAGCTTAGCGTATATACACATGTGTGAGGTTTTTGCGTGTTCCTCTGTTCTGTGTTTACAGAGTAGATCCAACTCTTGGGTTGGAACCGTGGAGTTCTGGGCTTGGCTAAGCCACGTGCGCACTTCCCCCAGTGATCAGGATCCTCATGGATCTGAGCAGCCGGGAGCTATGGAGAGTTCCCAAAGTTCACGGCTCCTGGGATTCCGCTGTGCAAGGGCACCGGAGCCTTAGGATTGTGTTTTGGTGTAGGGCTTCGGCTGCGAGGAGGTGTTTTGAGGGACCGGATGAGGCTAGACCGGATTCCAGATCCCGGTTACAGGCTCTCACCACTTCTTCGGGAGCTTTCTGGTCTCCTGCGATGCCTTGGGCACCTTCGAGGTGGACTTCAAGGCGCGGAGGGCCTTCCCGCCCCACTTTCCCGCCTTTCGCTTGGGGCCCAGCCTGAGGCTCCGGTGAGGGGTCTGCCCTGGCAGCGTGGCACGGACGGCCACTGCAATTTGTCTCCCGACAACAACTGGATCCTCACGGACACCTACCCGGACGCCTACCAGCTCAAGAAGGCGCCCGAGCTGCAGCAAAAAGAGGAGAGAGGAGAGAGAGCAGACCTCTCTCCTGTCGCTTGCGCAGGGTGTGTCTTGCGAGTCTTGCATGTCTCATGCCTATAGATGGCAGGTTTTGGTGGAGGAGCGGCGCGGAGACTCTGTTTATCTGCTGGGCTTTTACCGGGAAGGTGGCCAGGGGCCAAGCTCCACCCGTTGCGATCTGCATCCACACTGGGACCGCTTCGGATGTAACGTCCTCTTCGACTCCACTCACTCCGCGGATTCCAAGAGAGCCGTCTATCGCTTGGACTTAGAGGCCTTCGCCTTTCCCGGCTGCAAAAGCAAGAGCAAAAAAGGAAGCCCTGAGCTTGGGGGGGGGGGGGGGGT